TAAAAGAACGAGGGTCAGGGAGGACGTATGGGAAAAGGTTTTCCTTCAGCCCTGGGCCGTCCAGGCTCGCCACCGCCCAGCGCTCCCAGTTCCACGGTGGCTCCTGGACGGGAGCCGCTGTGCCCGTGGCTGTTTGGTGACTTTGGCCAGAGCTGGGCGCCGGAGCCTGGTGCGCTTTCCCAGCCGCGTCTGGAACTGCCCTCGGCCTCAGAACAGTAGCCACAGTGGGCTCTCCAGGGACGGCCTCTGAGTTTCATGCGATCCAGTGCTTCATCTGGCTTTTATAGAGAACAGGGTCCTGACCCGGGATGGAAGAGAGCACAGCCTTGTTAGCAAACTGTCCGGGGAGAGCTCTAAGGAAAACGAATGTGGTGGAGAAGGGGCCGGAGGAGCTGAAGGCACACAGGCCCTTCGCGGGCTCCCTGGGTGTGGCCTTCGGACAAGAAAATCAAGTCCAGATACCTCGGGGAGACCGAGAGGAGGGGACAAACCTGTCATGGGGAAAAATAACCGCTAATGTGATAAAATGCGAGTGGCTACGCCAAGCCATGGCCCGTCGAAGATCTCAGGAAACGCAGCTCAGAAAAAGTCCAAAAGTCCTCCAGTGTGAGGTAATGAGGCGCGCCTAATTATATTCCAGAAAGAAGCAGCAAGGAGTGCTTTCAGAGCCTTCCCCCTCTCCCGCCCCTCGCGAACGAGTCCAAATCCCGACCGGGGAGACACCGTTATTTCAGGGAAAGTGAGGAATTTCCGAGAGCATCACGGGAAACCAGGTTGTGGTTTTCCCAGAACTGATAAAAAACCACCGCACAAACCCTTCCCCGCCTGCTCTCTCCTCCCCTCCCCAAGAAGACTCCCATCAGGAAACAGCAGGGGGAGGAAGAAAAAAAAGAAAAAGCCAAAAACAGACAGGCAGCCCCACCATGAGAAATCCAGGCAGTCGGAATGACATCTGACACCGCCAGGCCACAGCTGAAGAACAAGGGAAAAGTTTTAGGGTGACTGTCACTGACCCATAGTCTCTCACTCCTAACCTTGCTCTCCAACATATGTTTCTCATTTCCTTGCTTATAGCTGGTCCAAGCTAATGATATGTGTTTTGGCCGGGATCCCGTGCTTGGCATACAGCCGGTCTTGTTCTCATTGTCCGGGCTACTTACAGAAACCTCTTTCTCTGTCTCTTTCTCTCTCTCAAAAAAAACCGGCTCTGAAGAACAGTAAGTATGCAAAGCAGCCCCCGTGTCTGTACAGCTACCATCTTGAACAGGGCCCCTCTACCCTAACACACCCCATCAATAAAGTCCGAGCAGACTGCCCACGGGTGAGGGGTACGTTCAACACAAAAGCAGTGGAAATTCAAACAAATTGGCCCATTAGAGTCTCACACGGCTATAAATACAGCTCGGCCCGGGCTATTTTGAGGGACGGTGGCATGGGAAAGTTCGGCCTGGAATCTTGACTTTGTCAGAAGAGACGGATCTCTCCCAAGACATGGGAAGAAGACGGAGCACTGGGCGGGCAGGAGGAAGGAGGGCACGGGGCCTGGTCAGTTCCTGGCGAGGGTGAAAGTGGGTGGGGGAGACGCAGCCGGGCCCTGCCCCGGCCTCCTCTGGGCCTGCCGGCCTCCACGTGAGAGGCCCAGGCCCTGGTGTCACTCAGCGCGTCCGTAACCTCTAGAAAAGCTGAACATGCCCTTTTGCTCCTCGGGGGTCAGTGGACCATTTGACTCTTCCTGAAGGAGCAGGCAGGCCCTCGGAGGAAGGCTGGGAACCAGCGTGAGCTAGCAGGGTGGGCAGGCCCCGGCTGCACCCCGCACCTCCAGCTGCCCCAGAAGGGAATCGTGAGGGGCCTTTTTCACCGCTCAGACCCCAAAGTGTGACATTCAGTACATATATATTATGAAATCAGGGTGCAGTCACGTGGGTTTTAGGAAATAGGGCCCATAATGTGTTAGCAAATTATGTGAGCAGAGAATGTGTGTGCAACATTGAGAGCTGCTCCACGCTTCCCGTCAGGGTGTGTCAGCAGATAGCAGCAATGAACTGCTACCAGTGGGGATGGGTAAACACAGAGAAACATAGAATACACATGTACCTCTGCATGCGTACCTGCCCACTTCTGGGCAGGTCGCTGCTGGGTCTGCGCGGCCACCCTGTCTCCCTGGACCTCTGTCAATTTCTGCTCAGAAAGCACCCCCAGGACAACTGTGGATTTACTCAGTCAGTTGGAGCGCCTACTGGATACCAAGCACGGTGGGAGGTAGGGGTAACAGACACAGCCTGACCTCTGGGTCTCTCAGCCCCAGGAGTGCATTTGATCTGTCCCTGGACCCTATAGCCGTCCTGACCGCACATCCCAGTTGGCCCGGGACAGCCCCGTTTATGTCTATTGTCCCTGGGTAATTATTAATAGCGCTTCTCTTCACTCTCCCAAGTGCCCCAGTTTGGATGATAAATTATAGGGTTACTCTATCCAGAGTCCCTTTTTAAAGAATGCTTTTTTTGGTATGAAACCCAATACACAAAGAAAAGTACAAAAATATAGCACCCTCTGTTTTCGAGGCTCTTTGGAACTTGCAAAAGTCAAGACAGGGTTCCCAAACCATCAAGAAAATGGCTTTAGCAGATTAAATTTTAATTAGTTCAAGAACAGGCTCCACTGTTCTGGGCTTGACTCCTTGCCACGCGCTGCCGTTGATTCTGTCGTCGCCGACATTGTTGGCTCTTAATTTTCCATGATGCGTCTGAACCTGAGGGACTGCCCACTTCCACCAGCACGGGGACAGCTGGAGCACATGAGGGCGCTTGTCCCCGGGAAGGGAAGAGCCAACACAGGTTACCATGACAACACTCTTTCCTGAAAATCTCTGACTGACACTTCCTGGGGAGACAGGAAGTAAGGACAGGAAGACACCGAGGTCACTCTCTTCCCATGCCGAGCCTTCCCCACCTCCCAGGCCGGTCTGCCAGCTGAACTTTTCTAGCTCAGCCTTTTTGCTTCCATTCCCATCAGCAAAGCTGCCCTGGGGGCGAAAGCAACCAACTGCTTCTGTCCCCGTCTTATCATCCAGCCCATGGAACCCCCAAACCGTCCAACCACAAGCCACACAGAAGTACCTAGTGAGGTCAAGATGCTTCAAAGGTGACGAGGTTGATTCCAAAGTAAAAAATAACCAGCTTAAGGACTGTCTACACTTTTGTAATCAATATTATGACATTAATAACCATTCAACCAATGTTCTTGAGCACCTACGTCCCAGGCCCTGTGCTAGGAATTAGAGGTAGAGTATTGAGCAAAATGGACATGGCTCCTGCCATCTCAGAGTTTACAGTGTCCTGAGGGACACAGACATTAAAGGGGTAATCCCACAATAAATACGTAACTACAGATGGCAGTACGTACTGCACTGAAGGGGTAATCCCACAATAAATACGTAACTACAGATGGCAGTAAGTACTGCAAAGGAAAAGTACAGAGTATACGCGTAAGTACAACAGGGACCTGATGTCCACTTGGACAAGTCAGGGAAAGCCCTAATAAAACGACTGTAATCTAGGATCTGAGTGATAAGTAGGAAGTAGGCAAATAAATCCATTCACATCAAGAGTCCAGAAGAAATCTTTTCCTTCAAGACCAGAAGAGTTGACTTTCAAACCTGCAAATTTATAACCAGCTTCAAGAATATTACAAGGGGCCCGGCCAGTGTGGCTCAGTTGGTTGGAGCATATTTCTGTACACCGAAAGGTTGCCGGCTTGATTCCTAGTCCAGGCACATACCTAGGTCGCGGTTCAATCCCCAGTACTGGAGGCAACCGGTTGATGTCTCTCCCACATTGATGTCTCTTTCTCTCTCTCCCTCTCTCCCTCTCCCTCTCCTCTCTCTAAAATCAGTCAAAAACATATCCTCAGGTGAGAATTAAAAGGCAATAATAATAATACAAGGGGGTAATAATACCTCATTTCTAGATTGTTAATTGTGTGTGATGCTCCTAGTGCAGTCCTTTGAATGCAGAAAGTGCTCAGAACATGGCATCCATCTCTCTGGAGGTGTTTTAGCAAATGTAGGGTCTCTTATCTGAATTCCCAACACCTAACACAATTCAAAGTATCACTACCGTGTCCGTACTTTTATGTATTAAGTGTTCGCTGTACATTGAATGAAGGAAGGAGTTCATGAACAAATGACCTAACTGTTACAGGATATTTCCTACGGACCAGGCACCGTGCCAGGTACTTTCACAAATATCCTCTCATTTCATCACCATGACATTATCACACCTTTCTCAAGGCTGGGATTCTGATGGGCAGACTTAAACAATAGCTCTGAAAATAATTTCAACCCATAACCCTCGTGAAGTTTGGAGAAGCAGATAAGGGTTTGGAAAAGGCACTTTCAGGAGTATTTTTAAATGGCAAGGGAAGATGCATACCTGTGAAAGGAAAAGAGACAAATGCTCCAAAGTAGAAACAGGATGAGAAAGAGGCTTCACAGTGGGGTGAGAGGGCTGGGCAGCGTTGCTAAAACCCAGAGAAGAGTTTGAGCCCCTGCAACAGCAGCAGAATGTTGTATAGATGAAAATGAGGCAACTGGATTCTGTGGTCCTTGTTCCAAGTGTGCTGGACACACTCCCCTAATTTTAGGGAGGGGATTGGGGTTGGAGAGTGGGGAGAGAAGAGAATTTGAGCTCAGAGGAGCATTTAAGTGCAGGGAACCTTCAGAAATGGTCATTGAAAAGCCTGGCCTTTATGGGACAAAGTGGTCATAGGGCCACTTTTTGAAACAAAGGTAACGAGAGGAAGTGTGAACTCAGAAGGAGCTCTGAATCTCACTGGTTTGAGAAAGGATCTTGGGTAAGGAAGGAAACTAAGCAAGTGATTTTATATTTTAAGAGGTTCCTCTAGTCTAAAAGAGGCAAATCTTAACGGTGAACGATTTAGACAAAAGAAAACTTAAGCAGAGGTAGGAGTTTTATTTCATCAAAGAAGCATAGACTCGTATTAGGGTCAGAAACCTCTACATTTTAGGAACGACCCAGATTAAACTGGGGGTGGATGGGAAAGGAAAATATCTGAGAAGGTCCAAGGGGGTAGGGAAAACCCAACGGCAAAAGTAATTGCGCCTTGCAGGAGCGCTCCTGCTGCAGAGGGTTTCTGCAGAACCGGACGTGGGTTTGAACTCGGTGCTCTTTGGTGGAATCCTGGCAGTTCCTTGAGATGGTGACAAGCCCATAATTGTCCTGGCTTTATTGTTTTCCCTCCGCAAACCTATTTGTGAAAGGGCCATAAAATCGTCTTACCCAGCGCTCTCCGTTTCAGGAAATGTGATCCGCGGCACACCGGGGGGAATGATTTTACTTTCTTCCTATTTTGCGGCATCTCGGCCCAAGGTCAGCACCGAAATGGTTAAAATATCAGCACATTTCACTGGTCTTGGGTTACTCATAAACATTCAGCAAAGCAATTTCACTCAATCGCACATATTAACTGCTTAAGTTCTTTTCTCTGAGGATGTGGACTGTTATTTTATGCCAAAAGTCCTGTAATTAAGTTTGACATAAGCGCATGGATTAAATATGTGGTTGGGGTGGGGGGTGGGGGGAGAGACAGGGAATGGAAGGTTTTCTCCCCTCGCCTTTATGCCATATGGAGACTGTAACCAAATAATGTGCAAAAATTTTTTAAGAGAATTTCCAATCTTATTACTCAGTGTTGTTTATCAGGTAAGTCTTAAGGCCAGTGTAGTAACAAAACCAGTTATTCTTTCCCCCAATTTTGCAATAAGATCAACAAAAGAATGTTACCCATTCAAGAACCCCAGACACCGCTTAGTGAAGTCTTTATAAGGCAGAGAACCGAACAGCTAGAACCTCTTCTGATGGGCAAGTGACTGTGGCTATGGTTTGGCGCGAACTTCTCCAAGGGATCTGAGTCAGGGATGCGCTGGAAATGCTGAACCCATGAGGAGGGCACTGTGACTTGCGTCGCTTTTTCAATTATGTTCAGGGACGTGGCATTCAGAGGTGCTTCGTTCTGCTTTTAACATGTCCAGATTCCCCCCGTTTGAAGGGTCCTGAGGTAACTCTGAAAAGGCTCAAATCATCGAAGCAACAAATAACAAATTTACTTTCCATTTCTAGCCATATTCATGAAGGTTTCTTGTGGTTTGAGAGAGGAATGCTCTTGTTCCTCCCTCCCTAAAAACAGCTGAAAATAGCTTTTTCAAATGTTTGAAAGAGAAAACATCCTCCTTGAGTTTCCCCCAAATCCCCAATCAGAGGAGCACACAGGAGATTAACCCTCCAGGGCAGTTAGGCGGCAGCCACCGCCCGCTTCCCTCCCGGGGAATTTGTTCCCAGGCTCCTGCCCAGTCCCAGGTCTTTGTTGCTCTTCTTTTTACTGGTGTCACTGAGTTGACTGCCTTCTCGGTGGCTTGGTCCTGCCATACCTTCCTGAAAGCAACAAGAAGCGTTATCCAAGTCACTGCCAGGCTCATAGTCTTTTTCTTTTTCTAATAATTTTATTGATTTCAGAGAGGAAGGGGGAGGGAGAGAGAGATAGAAGCATCAATGATGAGAGAGACTCTGTCAGCTGCCTCCTGCATGCCCCACACTGGAGATCAAGCCAGCAACCCGGGCACGTGCCCTGACCGGGAATCGAACCGTGATCTTCTGGTTCATAGGTTGATGCTCAACCACTGAGCCACGCCAGCCAGGGCAGGCTCATGCTCTTTATACTTGGGCATGATTCTGGAAAATTCCCTGGCAGTCATGCCTGGCTACCTTCTGATTGGTCTCCATTTCTATGCACTGGACTCTGAATCTTTGCCTTTTGGAGGCCACAGTCCAGGCTGCTCTTAACATGGGTGTTGGAAGCTCCATCGACCTCCATGTTGCGCTCACTCCTCCAGCAGGCATCTGGCCATTTCAGCATGCCCACTTTCATGTTATCATAGGTGGCTCAAACTGAGCACAGTGTTGAGATAAAGCCTTGAAATTTGCTACACAGCGGTGAGAATAATTTATTTAGACTCAGTACAACCTTCTATATCCTCTGTAACTGGGGGGACTATCTGCCACATGGTTCAAAAGCCCATCCCAAGCCCGCCAGGAATAATCTTGTTTCTTAGTTTATCTTTCTAGTTGTATAACTTCTATTTCTGCTCATTAAATTACATAAGCCTGTTACTAGGCCCATCGCCTTAATGTATTCCAGGCATTCTGAACTGTGCTGTGCTCTTCTGTATTATCCCCCAATTTGGTACAAAATATAATTACCTTCGACTCTACTATCCATGTCATTGTTGGGAATTGTCTGGTTCTCTTAAGTGGCTTTCACTTTTTTTAAAATATATATTTTAGGTAGGTCTTTTTATTCCCAAACTTTACTCTCCAGAGGGGCCAAGACCGGGAATGAAATGCATGCCGCTGCCCCAGAGCTGGACTCCTGGTCTGGTCAGGAGGGGTGGGAAGAAAAGACTCTTGTGGGTTGCTACTCTTTGAGTCTAGTCCAGCGACTTTAATTAATGAACTGACTCAGGCCACTCTGAGAGAGGTGGGTACATTCCTCTTTCTAACAGCATCTGGTTGCATTTTCCACGGACCCATGTCTGCCATTTTCTTCTGTCCATGTCTGATTCCTCCCTAACAACTCCAGGAAAGAGCGAAAGTTGGGCAAGGACAGATGTCGCCATAGATTCCCCACTGCTCCTGAGCCAAGAACCTGGTTCAGTACACACTTGTCAAATGAAACTATCTTATGGGAAAATGGTGTATTTACTGTGAATAGATGAATTTAAGCAACCGATCCGTGCCGGATGCCCTGAAGAGTTAAATCAGAGGAGAGAGGCGTGTTGTCTCTGTGGAATGAGAGACGGCCATCTGCACATCAAATACCCAAGTGTAGGAGAAACGTTGCCCACCGATCACTGTCAGATCCTGGGGAGAAGCTATGGAAAACACCTGAAGACCACATGTTCCTGGAATCTGAGCTCTGTGTATGAATAATGCCATACAAGACCAGGAACATGAGTAGCCCAGCCCACCTCTTTCCTAAGGACATAGTCATAACTCTGAATCCACAGACAGCTCTCCTTCTTTAGAGGCAACTCTTATCATTATCCTTGAATTTAAAATGATTTCACTATTGTTTTCCATTTAGATTAATCTGAAAATAAATATTTTTATCTGTGGAAATATTATACTCCAGGCTCAGGTAGAATCGTGGTTAAGAGCAGCAGTACTGATATCCTTTCTTTCTTAGGCTCATGATGAGAGAGAGGCCAACTTGAAAGAGGCAGTTAGGGGTGAGATTATGATAGCAGTAATAAGGGACATGAGGATAGAAAAAGGAATTTATTTTTAACCAGCTCCAGAGATTATAAAAAAAGGCTGTGAGGTGAAGAAAAGAAAGGGATGGGAAACTATATCTGCCAAGCCCGGCTTGGAGTTCTCCTCTGTTGGACCTTGCTCATAATAGCTAGAATGAGAACCATTGATTGCTTCCCCTGAAATTGGTCCACAAACACATTAGAAGCAAACCTTTACAAAGATCACATGACTATTATGGAAAACTTGATAAGACTCTTCTTAACCAACCAGAAAGAGAGTTGTCCTTGTGTAATAGATAATAATCATATATCCAAACAGTGCCTTATATTTAAGGAACAATGTCCCTGGTATTGGAGCTTAAAGGGGAAAAATAAGAAGTTTGGTACAGCTTTTGCCATGCACCCCAAAACCAAATAGCTTAAAACAGTAAATCCTTATTCAGGACTCTGTGGGTAGGCTGGACAGTGCACCTGGTCTGAGTTGGCTTGACAAAAATAGATAAGCAAGAATGGCCTCACTCCCGTGGCTGCCAGTAGCCCCACTGTCAGCTGAAGTGATTCTCTCACCCTTCATAGCTTAGCCTGGTCTTCTTCCCATGGTGGCCTCGGGCTTTCCAAGGGCAGCAAGAGAACCAGACTTGATGCATAAGCATTTTTCAAACCTGTGCTTGTGTCGTATTTGCTATGGTGCTGTTGGCCAAAGGAAGTCACATGGCCAGACCACAGTCTTGGGAGGCACTGCTCAAGGGCATAGATAGTATGTGTGACCATTTTCATTCCCACAGCAATAGATGTCAGATAATTCATGCACTCTAAAGGAAGTGATGGTGATCTACTTAATTCTGCTTAAAGACTCTGGAAGAATAAGGGTCAATATTGGGCTAACACTGTACTCATCTACATGTGAACATTTGAACTATTGTGAAAGACATGCATAAATCTATATTACTGATAATACAGTTTTTTAAAGGAGGAGATGGGGTGGGAGAGGTAGAGAGAGGAAAAAAAGTGAAGGAAGGAAGAGAAGAAAGGAGCAGAATGGGAGGAAGGAAGGAGAGAGAGGGAAGGAGGAAGGGAATCATATCTTTCTTAGCATATCCAATTTCATTACTTTGTGTTGACAGAACACTACCAATCTTATAGATATCCTAAGCTTTTTGATTGTCATTAGTTGTCTTGTACAGTAGCGTCCTCTTTCCTGAACTCTGACGTGGTCAGATTTCAGCCTGTGCAGAGGTGCTCGGGTTGGATGTCCAGCCCCTTCAGGGAACAGAAGCCCGAGTTTCCATCCACACAGTGGTCAGTGCTTATGCTGCTGGCCCTGCCTTGGAAAGACCAAAGATGCAGACCAGCAACGCCCCATTCCTAGGACATAATTGATGTGCTGTTAATTTTTTTCATCAACAAAGGATTACCAAAATACCACATGATTTCCTTCAAAAATGTGACCCTCCCTTTCCTGTCTCATTTTTCTTTTCCTGGATCTGAATGTGGTTTCCATTGGCCTCATGAAAATAGTTATTTCTGCTCATTTTCCTCGACTTGTCTCAGCTCCGTGATCTCAAGGCGTCCAGAAATGCTAAAGCAAACTCTGAGTACAAACGTAAGGGGCTGCTTCTCTCGCTCAGAGCTTCTCTGAAACACTCCTCCTCCTTGCGAGGCCAGTGTTCCTCTGTGTCCCACAGCAAACCTCGTGGTGTTATAAAAAGCCAATAACTAAATAATGCCATAGGAATCTTAATGACCAGGGTCATTTAGCCAACAACATTACACAGTTTTTTCCTCTTAGAATTCAAGCATTTAAAATTACAAATATCCCATCCAATTCACATTTAATTACCACTGTTCAAACTTAAAGAACTTTCTCATTTTCAATTATGTGCAATTGGAAATAATGAACTACTGCTGAGGGATAGCCAATTGACTCCTTTTTTAAGGGGGAGCAGGGAAGTGACATAATTGTTGTCTCTTTCTAATAAAAGTTCTATTGTCAACTGGCCACTTCTTTATTAAACATCCCAGGTCAATTTCTCCACATTTATCACCAACCAAGAATGAAATTAACCTGTGACGGGCCCTGACGTGTGATTTGACTGTTGAGACCATAGTTTCCAGCACAGAAATCCATGCTGAGGGTTAAACTGAGCAAGAATGGCAGAGGGCATTCTAAGTGAGAACTGTCATGGAAAAGCTGGGCTTAGCGGTCACCACCAACTCAAATAGACTTGGAGCTACTCTGCACCCTCTGCCGGGTGAGGAAAGGGAATTGAGGTTGGGGGGTGCCAGCACCTTTGGCTTCTGAATGATTCCACTCGTGCCTGGTCCTCCTTCCTGGGAAAGCCTGGAGTCGGGCACACCTGGCCGTGCTGAGGAGCGTGGCTGCTGAGAAGGCCGGCCTGAGAGCAGCCTGACCTGTCTCCGTGACCCATGGGGGGGTTCATGGCAGTGCTGTCTGAAGATCCCTTTCAGTTTGCTCTGCAAGCTAGTCCATTGTCTCCCAGGATCATCTTTTCAAAAGAACAAAACACACACATTTCTTTTAGTCTTAAAATCACTTCTTTAAATGGGAACTACTCGCCTACCTGTCGAGTAGCTCTTATAACAAGCCTGACTCTTGCATTACCAAAAACAAAGTTTATATATATAAGTATGTGTGGTGTGGTATAAACAGAGGCAGTCATAAATAGGTTAATAATAATAATAAATACAATAAGTAATAACTAAGTAATAATACAAGAATAAACGGTTTTTGCAGACTCATAACTGTAAACCTACGTTTGCCTGCCCTGTAGATACGGGGTGTGTGTGCGTGTGTGTGTATTTTATATAATGACTAGAGGTCTGGTGCACGAAATTCATGCATGGGGGGGGGTGTCCCTCAGCCGAGCCTGCACCCTCTCCAATCTGGGACCCCTTGAGGGATGTCCGACATCCCTCTCACGATCCAGGACTGCTAGCTCCCAACTGCTCATCTGCCTGCCTGACTGATTGCCCCTAACCGCTTCTGCCTACCAGCCTGATCACCCCCTAACCACTCCCCTGCCAGCCGATTGCCACTAACTGCCCTCCCCTGCTAGCCCGGTTGCCCCTAACTGTCCTCCCCTGAAGGCCTGGTCACCCCCAACTGCCCTCCCCTGCTGGCCATCTTGTGTCCACATGGGGGCGGCCATATTTTTGTGTTGGAGAGATGGTCAATTTGCATATTACCTATTTATTATATAGGATATGGACCTAAAACGTGCCATTGTATCATCAGCATCATTTGAAATAGGCTGTATTTTGTCACCACTGGCGGTTCCGTCTACAGGGCAGGTTGAGGGACTGGGATAAGGACCTCGTTTTCACTCAGCTTCCTTCTGGGAAATGAGTCCTGTGTCTGGGAGGTGCTCCCAGTTTCGTGGAGGAACAGCATCCCTGACAACTGGAACCTGAAGTCCTAAGGAATGGTTTCCTTAAACGTGTGCTACTGCAGAGCAAGGGGGACTGTTTTTAATGCTTTCCATGCCGACTGCAAAAAAATATCCCTCTTTATTTATATGGTGGAATTCTGTTCATGCTTCTTCATTTCCACAGTCTTGCCTTTTAGTTAGTTTTCTAAGTGGCCTTCTCGTCACACATCTCCCTCGTTCTTCACCCATCTTCAATAAGACGAAGTTTTCTGAAGGTTGAGTGTTTTGTATCCGGCTTATACTTTTTCCCCAGAACATATTTCTACCCACCAAAATCTCAAATTGCCATGGCAACTATCAACGGGCCCTAAAATGTTGCTTTTTCTGTACTTAACCTACGCAGAGTCACCAAAAATGGCCACAAAGATTACATAAGAATTATATCCAGGGCTGAGAAAAGAACCACCGTCATTAATTTCTTTCCATTTTAGTCCATCTCGGGGGAGATTGAATGGCAAACCTACAAGGCTAATAAAGTTGTCAGGACAGACTCTTCTTGTTATCTTTCAGGCAGGGAGAGACTGTCCAGGGCTGCATGTGCCCGGCCAGTGGTGGGGGAGAGAGAAGAGGAAGTGCCGAAAAACAGAACAGGAAACAGATGGGAGATGTGATCTCTCAAAACTCCCCAAATTCTGTAAAACCTCAAACCAGCCTGGTGGCTTGAAGATTAGGACAACAGTGAGATCTCTGCCCTCACCAGAGAGAGGCCAGCCGAAGCGGGCACAGCTAGGGGTCAGTCACGGGGACACACATCCAACTGCATCCAACTGGCTACGGCTCAGCAGGGCCACAGGGAAGTGAGAAAGCGAGGCCATCGCTGAGTTCATCAGGGCGGGAGGCAAGGAGAAGGCTTCCACTCTCACAATGACGGCCTCAAAGCCAGTTCCACGGCGACAGCTAAAATCTCTGCAATCACGTGATTTGGGGTGAAGAATACTTCTTCCTTTGCTAAGAATGAAGAGGTGTTTGCTGAGATGAAGCCCAGAAGATGGGCCAGAGGGAAAGGACTCAGTTTTCCACATCTGCAGCCTTCAGGGCTCAGTGTGAGGGAGAACAGGGAGCCGCGTCTGGAATAAATGAGCTGGGGTCGTTGTCCGTGACCCCAGTGCAGAAACATCAAAGAGTACAAACGGTTTCATTAAAAATCGTCCCAAGGTGCAATTATTTGTCTAAAAATGATATACCCGAGTTCAGAGAAGGTGTCGTGGTAACGGTTGTTCAGGGTTGGAGGGAATATCCAGGCGTGGATTTTCCTTTTCTTTGCTGGCTGGGCAAGTGGGGGTCCAGGGAGTGATTGCTCCCTAACAACCAGAATGGGGAACCTGCTTCCTGAAGAGATGCTCAAATCTGACCGTCCAGCTGACCTCCTCCCAACAAAGCTGAGAGCAGAGCCATCCAAAAATCCCAGACACCCCTCCCCCGCCCAGCAACCGCATTTCACTTGTGACCTTGCACAGCCTGTGGTCAGGACAGAGCCTTTGAACACATCTCCAGAGCGGGGCGATTAGAAGGTCTTTGATTACTCAGCTCAGCTGGTCCTCTTTACTCCCCTCCCCCAGCCCCTTCACCTCACCCAGTCGCCTAGGAAGTTTGTGTGTGTGTGTGTGTGTGTGTGTGTTTTTAAAGCAACCAATTTTTTTTCTCTCTCTTTTTATTTTCCTATAGCATCCTAAACCTCAAGATGCGGGTAACACTAATCCTGATTTATTTAGCGTTTATCTGCATTATTAATTCCAATCAGGAAAAAAGAAAGTGCTCCAGGCCCTGGTTTGTATACAAAGTTTGGGTGTTTGTGAAAGGGGCCAGCAATCACTGGGAAACATATTTTCTTTAGATAGCTTTTAAATCCAAACAACTTTCTTTTCTGGTCCTGAAAATATTCCCGGAGACGGGTCCCATCCTTAACAATTTCATTTATTATTATCCCCCCCACCCCCCAGTCGATATCCTTTGAAGCTGCTTCTTGCATTAATCTGGACTTAATATGGATTTAAACATTTACAATGGAAAATAATTTAGGTTAAAAAAAATAATCTCCTTTGATAAAACTAGAATCCCCCACAACTGTCCCCATCTTTGACAGCTAGGAATGGGATGAGATTCTTGAGTATGCATATTGAGGAGAAGGAAAAGCAAGACTAACAGGGTGTGTGTTGTATTTTATATTTGTCAGCTGCTATGACTGACTGGAGATGAGTGATATCCAGGGTCTTGACTCGTTGTTTGAATGAATTCATCATCACTCAGGACGTATGAATAGTTATTTGGTGCCCAGGATAAACTAAAAATATCTTTCCTTGGAGAGAGAAGGTAGCAGCCTGCATCCGTCACTCACAAAGGGGCTTCTCCATAGCTAAGAGGGCCCAGCCCCCTTCCCACCCATCCTCGCCGTTTTTGCATTCTTGAGTCTGTTCATTTGAACAGCGCTGGAAATAGAAAGTTTACATTTCTCTGGGCAGGCCCCCGGCAAGGCCAGCGCTATCAAGGGAATTCTTCCTGGGTTTGACTCAAGCAGCTCAAGGGGATTGGAATATTTTCATGGGAATTTAAAGGAATTCAGATTAGACCTCCAAGTCTACTTTGTCAGACCTCAGCACTTGAGGCAGACCTAAAAGTGTTTTGATTTCTTGGGGACTTGCAGAATGAGGCTAGGCTGAATCCAAAAAATGCCCCTCTTCCAGGGTTGGAAAATAATGTGGCCCGGGTGCCATCACTGCTCATGCCTGTGCCCACGGCAGACATTATTAATCAATCACAACCTCCTTTCACCCTGTGCCAGGAGGTGGCTTTTTGTATCTTCTCAACACAATGCCCTGTGAGCCACCTGCAGTGCACTTCATTGGGGACATACATTGAAAGCTATTTTCGGTTCCTGCTGGGCCCTGCACTGCTCCCGGAGACTCTCAGCTGATCTCCTGGGTTTTTGTTGTTGTTTTGTGGGTTTTTGTTGTTGTTAATCCTCACCAGAGAATATTTTTCCATTGATTTTTTTTAAGAGAGAGTGGAAAGGAGGGACACAGGGAGGAGGGGCAAAGAGAGAGAGAAACATTGATGAGAGAGACATTGATTGGTTGCCTCCCTCACAAGCCCCAACAGGGGCTGGGGATTGAACCCGCAACCCAGGCACAGGTTCTTGACCAGGAATCAAACCTATAACCCTTTAGTACATAATTAAATGCTCTAACCACTTAGCAAACACCAGCAATCTCCTGGGTTTTAGCATTTCCCTTCAGTCTATCTTGTGCACTACTGCTGGCTCCTACTCTTGTTCTTGATAATATGGAGACATGGTGTTAAGAACAATTCTAGAAAGACTATAAAGACCAAGGACATGATCCCTTAGACTGCTGTAGCCTCCACAATTACCAGTACTAACCAAACCAATTGGAAACCTTTGCTCTGAAGGAGCCACCCCATTCCTTTTGCTGAGCCCCAGAAAAGCTGCCTCCTGTGGATATCCTTCCATCATCCCTCAGTCTTCGGGCCAGAATGTAATGTGGCTGGGTACTCTCCTAATCACTTTACCTCTCAGAGCCTTCTCACAGCTCTTCAGGGCCTTCCTCCCCCGTGCTCTGACCACTTCACCAGGCTCATTCCTCTCCAGCCCCTGCACGCCAGCCCCTGAAAGCCAGCCACTTGCCTTGCTCCACATGAGACGTTCCTTTCCCATCCAGGGCGCCATTCTCATGGCCACACACCCACTTTGCCCTCTAGGACATCTGCCCCAATTAACTGGCTCTCACTTTCACGCTATGCCTCTTACCACTTTTTGTCTCTATTGTACATTTTATTTTAATACTTACCTCTTTCCAAAGTAATATATTAATTGTAGAAATTTTAGAAAATATGGATATACAAAAAGTAGAAAATTAAAATAACTTATAATT